TAACTGGTTCAAGGAGAAGAGGCACCTAATGAAGATGTGCACCACCATCATCTCCACCACCGCAGATGGAAACCTGGAAGTCACCTCCACCTACCCTAAGTATGGGCATGGGGAAAGAGTGAGTGGGGAGGGGGTGCTGGGGGTGGGCACTGGTACATCCCCCCACCACTCTGACATCCTTGTGCTGTGCTCATGCTGTGTGTGATCTCAGGGGTGACCAGTGCGTGACAAGGAACAGCCTTTACACCAAGATGGAGCAGCCAGGGCGGTTCAGCTACACCAGCCCCCGTGAGTGCCCCCTGACCACAGGGCAGCCCTGCTGTCACTGTCCCTGCTTCTGCCTTGGGGCTGATTTGGAGCCTGGGGCTGAGCTGTGCTCCCCTGTCCCCCACAGGCTGGGGCAGCAAGCACGACATCCGTGTGGTGGAGACCAACTATGAGGAGTATGCCTTGGTGGCCACCCAGATCTCCAAGAGCACAGGCCCCTCCACCATGGTGCTGCTCTACAGTACGTCTGCCCTGTGCCCCCATGCTGTACAGCCCCCAGGACCTCCTGGAACGTCTCTCTCTCCCATGGGAGAAAGGCAGCACCATCTCCCAGGCTGGGGTGACCTCTGGGATAATGGCTGGGTTGGGACCCCCTTGCTGGGCTGCCCGTGCCCCCGTGCTGGTGGGGCTGCCCCTCACCCTGCTCTTGGCTGCAGGCCGGACCAAGGAGCTGAGTCCTGAGCGCCTGGAGAGGTTCACCCAGTTCTCCAGGGAGCAGGGCCTGACAGACGATGAGATCCTCATCCTGCCCCAGACAGGTGAGGCTGGAGGCACAGGGAGGGTGGTGGGGAGCAGGGGTTGAGATACCCCAAGGGGGCTGAGAGGGAGGAGACCCTCCTGGCCTGTTCCTGCCTCAGTGTGGGGCCATCCATGGGGTGCCCCCATACATGGTTCCTGGGGGGGGCTGAGGATGATCTCCCCTTTTTCTTCCTCTCACAGACAAATGCATGGCAGATGCTGCCTAGGTAAGTCCTGCCTTTGCTGGGGGTCAGACCAGCCCTGCGGGAGGGTCGGGGGTGTTCAGAGCCACTGCATCCCACGGAGCCGACAGTGCCTCGCCAGCCCTTCCCCAGGCTGTTCCTCTCCTTACCCCTACGAGGGATTCCCCATCCTGGCCCTGTGGGGTGCCTCAGGCCCTGGGCAGTCTGTGCTCACCCACTCAGGGTTGTGCTGGCTGGGCCTATATCCCCAGTGTGTCCCCCTGTCTCCCCCAGCTCAGCTGTGCTCACCCCCCGTCTCTTCCAGGTGATCACCCCAGCTGCTGCCAGCCAGAGCCACGACAGTGCCGCGAGCTGGTGACCACCCTGTCCCATCCCAGCCCCAGTGCACCCCACAGCACTGCAGCAGCCTTCGCTCCCTGGCTTCACACCCCACACCTGTACCCCCGTCCCCATTAAAGCCCATATAAAACCAACCCTTGTCTGCTGGGTTGTTGTGGGGAAGCCCCAGTGGGGAGGGGGAAGTATGGCTGGTGGGGCTGGGGCTCAGTGTCAGGGCTGACCCCAGCTCTCGGCCATGGGGCCGCCGGGCTGAGACCCTCTGTGCACTAGCAGCCCCACACCACGGTGCTGCCTGACCACCAAAAGGGCCCTGTCCCAGGAAAAGAGGTCCCTGAGGCTGGGACTTACTGGGGGAATCCGCTCCCCTCTGCCCCCTTGGGCATCCTGGGCTCCCCCAGCTTCTCTGCCTTGGTTCTCTACTGGAGAGCAGGCTGGCAGTGTGGGAATGGGATGATAGGCAATCACAGGGGGGTTCTCCAAAAATTTGGAGAAGGATGGACATGAAGCAGAGGGACATCTGTGAGTGCTGGATGTGGCTCAGCTCTCACCCCCCCGGGCTCCATTCCATGAGCCTGGACCCTCTACAGCAGTGGGGTCTGAGCCTGCTGCCACCAGCCTGGGAAGTCACCACCCCTTCTGGGGGCACTAGGCTGTGGCTCAGCCTGGGCTAAAACCACCAGCACAACCATCTTCTGGCACTGAGGATCCTGAAGTGGGATCCGTCCCATCACTGCCAGACCCTGGAACCAGCAGGAACAGCTGCAAGGGGGACCCTGGGGGCAACTCAGCTCCCCCCTCCCCAGGCACAGCAGAGGGCATGGGGCAGCACCCAGTCCTGGCGTGCCCTGGGCAGGGTCTCACACAAGGCTGCATTCATTCTGGCCGGGCAGCGGGTGGGGACAGGGCCAGCACTGTCACCTAACCCGGGTACAGGTTATCCCTGCTCTTGTGTAACCTGTTGCATAAAGGTAGGGCGGACGGGGGTGCTGCCAGCAGTGGGGGCTATAAAGGTGGGTGCAGCCTCTCCACATCCACCCCAGAGCGAGGATGACGGTGGCACTGCCCGGGCTGGCGCTGGCCCTGCTCTGCCTGCTGCAGGTGGGGGCCAAGGTCCCAGTGCAGCCAGACTTCGACGCCGACAAGGTAACAGCGTGGGTACTGCCAGGCATGTCCCGCCCGGGCTGGAGGGGCTGGGTGGGGCAGGGGGCCTTTGCTGCACCCCCAGGCACCCTCTGGTCCCATCTCTGACCTGATACCAGAGTAGCTTCCAGGACAGCCTGTGAAAAAATGGGTTACTTAGGGCTGCTGTGTCCAGCACCAGCCGAAGAAAACCCCCAGCCCCCAGCTGAAGGGACACCAGCAGTGGCCCCATTGAAGAGACACCAGCACCTGAGGCTGTGATGTCCCTGAGCATGTGGCACTTCCCCAGTGAATGTGGACCAAACGCCTCTCCTGCCCTCCTGGCATGGGGCAGGGCAGGGTGTTCTGCATGTAGGAAGGTGGCAGGTGGCCATGTTTGGCTGGCTGGTTGCCACAGAGAGTGGCAGGTTCCCCACTGCAGGTTGGCAGATTCCTACAACAGGGTAGGGGGTTCCCCATGGTGGGGGACAGGTGCCCCTGTAAGGTAGCAGGTACCCACAGCTTTCCCAAAGCCCACTGGTGATGTCCTGCTGCAGTTTGCAGGGATGTGGTATGTCACAGCCGCGGCTTCCAACTGCTCCATCTTCCTAAAGATGAAGGACGGGATGAAGTCATCCATCACCACCATCAGCTTCACACCAGAGGGGGACCTGGCCATGAAGCTGGTCTGGCCCCTGTGAGTGTCTGTCCTGCTCACCGTGTCCCCTGTGGGCCAGGGACTCTCCTCCCCCCCATGGCACCTCCCCCAGACCCACCACCCCAGGGTGCCCAGTTCTGCCTGCACCCCAGTGCATCCCCCAGGCAGGCTGGGCTCCCCCCCGCACCCACTGCCTTCCTACCCTCCCACGGGACATCCAGCCACGTTGGCCATTTCCATGTTCCTCTTCCAGGCTGGACCAATGCCAAAAGTTTGAGCTGCTCTTGCAGCAGAGCGGGCAGGCGGGGCGCTACACGGGTACGTGTGGTCAGGTGGGCGGAGCCGTGGGTGCCCCGAAACAGAGGGTGGGCGTCCCCAGCCTCCCATGCCCGGGGAGCAGTGGGAGGTGGGCTTGGCCACTCTGCCTTCTCTGCTCAGCGAGGGGTCATGCTGAGAGTGGGTACCCAGCTCCATCACATCGCACAGGGGCCCCTCCTCATACTCCCCTCAGGCAATTTTGGGGCTCAAGCAGTGAGCTGTGAGCCCCAGTGGGGCCCAGGAGGGCTTAGATTGTACCACACTGCCCAACTGGGCACGTCTGGTGTCCTTTAGCAGATCAAGAGAAGAGGGACGTGCTGGTGATGGAGACAGACTACAGCCACTATGCCATCGTGCACGAGGTCCATCAGAGCGAGACGGAGCCCAGCACTGCCCTGCAGCTCCTCAGTGGGTGTCGGAGTGGGGATGGGCACCCACAGCTCCCAGCAGGGATGGGGGCACTGATGGGCAGTGGGGGCTGGGCTCTCCACTACCACCCAGGGCCACCATCAGTACCCAATGTCCAGCACCCAGAGAATTAATTTTGGGGTGAATGAAACCTTTTACCAAAGATATCTCTGGCTGGCTGTTGGTTTAACCAGACCTCCTTGCAGTGTGCCAGCCCAGCTGTGGACCCCCAACCCTGTCAGCCACCCCATAGCACCCCAGGGAGATGGGCCACTCATCCCAAGGGGCTTGTGCCCCTTTGCTGCCAGCCCAGGGCACTGTGGGTTGCCTGATGTCCACCCTGCACCTTCGTGGCTTCACCTTAGCCCTTCCCTTGGGTCTAATCTCTGCCCTGTGGTAGCTGGACCCCTGGGGTGGGCTGGCTGCCAGGACCCCCTGCACTCACCAGCTCCCACTTTGTGTGTCTGGCTGCAGCAAGGGCGCAGGATGTGAGCCCCCAGCTCCTGCAGAAGTTCACGGAGCTCATCCCCACCATGGGCCTGACCAAGGACATGCTGGCCATCCTGCCCAAGTCGGGTGAGTGCCCTGAGGGCAGGGGGTGGCACATATAGCCCCTCTGTACAGGGACACTGTGCGGGGGCTCAGGGTGCTGCCCATGGCACACTCACTCCTGTCTTTGCTTTCCAACAGACCAGTGCACCAAGGCCATCAGGTGAGTGTGTCCAGGGGAAGCCGTGACTCACTCCCAGCATGGGCAGGCCTGAGAAGGGACTCGCAGCCCACTGGGGGCCCCCCACCTGCCTTGGGACTATGTGTCACATTGGCTTTGCCCTGCTCTGACCGCTCGTCTGTCTGCCCTGTCTGCAGCTAAAGGGTCCTCGTGTCCTCCAGACCTGGTGGACACCGGGCTCTGATCCCCACTCTGTGGTGTCCCCTTCCCATCCTTCCCAGCTGAACTGAGCCGGACCCTGCCCCACAGCAGGATCACCCCTCAGCCTCCTAAATAAATAGATGCAGAAGCTGTCCCAGAACTCAGTGCTTTGTTGGTGGGAGCAGGGGTGCTGCCAGGGTCCCCAGGCACCCTAAGCCCAGTGGTCCTGGAGCTGATCCTTTCTGTCAGCCCCCAGGGTTGCTGGGGGGCTCCTTTGCTGTGATATTTGTTGTGCCCAGCATGGGTAGGATGGGGAGCAGAGGATGGGGAAGGTGCAGCTGACACGGCAGAGGAGAATGGAGCTGGGGTGACCAGGGGCTGGCACAGCTTGGCTGGAGGGGCAGCAGCTCTGGGCAGGCAGTGTTAAGCAGTCAGATTGTCCAGCACTGCCTGAAGGGATGCATCCAGGACACCCCATTCCCTGCTCAGTCGCCTCCCAGGCCACCTAGCTGGGAGTGGAGCTGCACCATGGCTGCCCATAGCAGGCTTGGAACACCCATGCCTGTCTGCCACCCTCCTTGTCCACTGTGGTCTGTCTGCCACCCCCCATGTGCCCACTGACTAAAGCAGGACCATGCTGCCACGAGCCCCACAGGTACTTTTCATCCCACTCTACGTCCTGCAAAGTGGAGGCAGTCTCTGGTGCCCCCCACTCCCTCCCTGCCTCAGGGTGGGGGTCCCTCAATGCCCAGGCAGGTGTGGGGCTGTGACCCCAGGAGCCTGACAGAGTGGGGGCAGAGGGGACATCACACTGAGGGACACAGTCTCACAGTGACATGAACCCCTTTTTCTGCCTGCCCTGCTCTGGGTGCACCCGGCCTTGCAGGCCCTGAGCACGGCAGAGCAGGTGGGGAAGCTCGTGCAGGCACCACGGGTCAGACCGTGCCAGCAGCATGTCAGTGGTTGGGTTTGGGAGAATCCCAGCCACTCCTCGGGGCAGGTTCCAGCCTGGCCAGGAGGACGGGTCACCGAGCCCCATGGTGGGTCCCGGGGCTGTCCCTGGGTCCTGTGCCGGGAAGAACCTGCCGCTCCTCCCAGCAGCCCTCTGGCAGCCAGTCGGGAAACAACAGCTCGCTTTGTTCTTTCACAATCCGCTAAAGAAATGGGGAAAATCCCAAATTTCAGCAGTGGTGCAACAGTTCCTGTAACCCTGTTTTGGGGCTGGCAGGCACTTCCCCTCTGCCCCAGGGGTTTGTTCACCCCTGGCTGACTCCGGCCCTTCCAAACCCCCCCGGCCCGTTGCCCAAGCCAATCCCAGCAGTGCTCCCGTGGATCCGGGAGGCGGGGAAGCACCAAGATATAAATCCGGCAGCCCCGGCACCACTCCCCATCGCACTGGTGAAGCCAGAGTTGCTGAAGCGACATGAAGACCGTGGGGCTGAGCCTGGGGCTGGCCCTGCTCTGCTTGCTGCTCGTGGGGGCTGAGGACCTCGGCGCTGCGGAGTTGGACAAGAGCAAGGTGATCTGCAGCATCCCGGGGAGGGAAGTGGGAGGGTGGACTCCGGTCACCAGCAGTCGGGGATGACTGTAGAGGTGTTTTGGTACTGGGGACAGCTGGGGACACTGCAGACACCACTGCTTTGCTGTCACACCCAGGTGAGGGTGGTCACCCAGCTCCAGTATAAGTGTCCCTGAGGAGATTTTGTTGCCTGGAGGGGATGTGGGTATCCCATGGACCAAAGGTGTCCTGCCTTGGTCCCTGAGGAGGGGACCCTCCCAACTGCTCCCACAGTCTCACAGTCTGCTCTTGCTACCAGATTGCAGGGAAATGGCACATCACTGCTATGGCCTCTGACTCCGAGAGCTACCTCCAAAGGAAGGACCAGCTGAAGATGGCGATGGCCAACATCAGGGTCCTGGGGGAGGGTGACCTGAAGGTCTCCTTTGCAATTCCCACGTAAGTCCCACATGCTTTACTTCACAGGTTTCACTGACCAACCTCCTCTCTGGACCTTCATTGGTGGGTCCCCACCTGAGTGCACTCACCAAAGACCTGTGCAGGGAGTGAGGCAGGACCACCAGGGGCTCAGGACAGCTGTGGGCATCCCTTCTTCAGGGCAGGCTCAGGGCATCACCAGCCAGGACCAGTACCACCTCAGACGGTGGGGTGCTCTACTGCTGAGGGACGCAGTAGGGGGATAAGGGACCCTATGGTTAAAAGCTTCCTGGCAGGACCAGCCTTATGCCAGAAGCTCAGAGCATGAGCAAGGGCATGGGTGATCCCCAGGTACCAGCACTGTCCCCTGCCAGTCCAGGCACCAAGGGTGGTGGTATCTATCCCCTCCTGCCCCCCCTCCACACCATCCCATCCCTGAACAGCAAGTCCCACTTCTGGGGTAGCTACCCCAGAGCAGGGGAGGGAAAAGGGATCACTTCACTGGATGCTGGAGCATCCTTCACTCTTTTGCAGCCCGGGGAGATGTATGAAATTTGAGTCAATCTACAGGCCAACAAACATCTCGGGTGAATACTACAGCTCTGGTGAGTGGGGGAAGCCTGGCTCTTGGGGTAGGGGGGAGGCACATCCCATCATCCCTGTCCGAAGCAGCTGGTTGTTCCTGGTGACATGGCCCTTAGGACTGCCTGCCCTCCTGGGTCCTGGGTGGGACATCCCTGTGTTCAGGTGCCAGTTGCACTCCAGGGCCAGTCCGTGTCAGGGCTGGTGACACAGCAGATGGCAGAACCCCTCAAACCCTCCCTTTGGGATAAACACATTCACACCCAGCTTAAACCCTGGGGGAAAGCAGGTTCTTTCTGCCAAGGGGCTGTGGGTGAATGTTTCCAGAGGATGAAGCAAGGGGTTGTTTCCCACCATCCCCAGCCCAGGGGTCAGGCTGACACTGGCCAGCAGCCCGCAGTGACCATACTTGGCCCTTCCTGCCCTCACCTCCCTGTCCCCCTGCTCTGCTGTGGTCTTTGGGCTCCCCTAGGCTTTCAGAGGAGCCTTAGCAAGAGGAAAAACCAGGACAGAGAGACAATGAGGAAAGACAGACTGGGTGGGCTTTACACTCTTATAGCCCCTTTGCAGTGTGGGGGTTTCCAGGGGGAGGTAATTGATTTTTCTCCATGTCCTTTTGCAGACAGAGGCAATAAGACAGCACAGCTGGTGAATACCGATGGCAGGACCTATCTGATTATCTTTGCCACCAGAGAGAAGGAGGGGAAGATCTTGCACATGCTGAGACTCTACAGTGCGTAACCAGCGGTGTGCGACAGGCGTGAACCACTCAGAGGTGTCAGGGTGACTCCAGGGTCCTGAGAGGCCAGGAGTCAGGGGACAGACCCCTCCTCACTTCTGCCCTGGCTGTGGCACAGGAGCAGGGCTGGGACTGCTGTGTGCCCCCCATGTGGCAGGGAAGAGATAGTGATTTGGGGTGCAGAGGAGGCTGGGGCTCAGGCTCGTGCATTGTGCTGGGAGTCCATGGCCTTGGGTAAGTCGTGTGGTGAAACATTGTGAAGAGTGGGGGTCCTGCTGCAAGGTGTTGCAGGGACACAAACCTCTGCCTTGTCTTGTCCCCTGGGGGAGGTGTCTCATGTGTCTCTCTAAGACCTCTACCAATACCTCCAGCCTTCTTCCAGGGACTGCCATCCACCCCATCCTCGTGCTCACCAGATGCCCAGGAGATGCAGGGACAGGTACAGCCTGGAGCTAACTCATGTCTTGGTCTTTAGGCAGAACCCGGTGGGTGAGACCCAAAGTCATAGAGCTGTTCAAGACATTTGCCAAGATGAAGGGCTTCACCGACGACGCGATCTGGATACTGCCAAGGCAGGGTGAGCACTTCCTGGGGAGACACAGGGACGTGCAGGCTGGGATCACTCAGCCCACCACTGCCACCACTTTGTGGTCTGAGCTGGTAGGAGACAGTGCTGGCAGCCAGAGGTGCTCTGGCTGAGCACACTGTGGCTTTCTCCTTGCTCAAATTCATTCTGGGTTGTCTATTTTGAGTGCTAAATGGGGGTAGTCAAACCACAGCATCAGACTCAGGCTTTCTCTTTACTTTCACAGAGGAATGCAACCTTGATGAACCATAGGTGAGTTGCTGCAGTGCAACACGGTGTTTACAATGTCCTCCTCTGGAAACTGCCCCTCTTGGTGCCTCAGCAAGGGCCACCAAGAACTCTTTGAATTCCTCTGAGTTTGAACTGTTTGAACCTGTGCTGGACCTTGTACCCAGGTAGGACCATTCCCTTGGGTACTGCTCTGCAGTGGGGACCCCCAGGGAGCAGTGCCCAGTGCTGAATGAGGGTATGTGAGCCAAAAGCACTGGATCTGTGGAGAACCAGTTGCACAGCCCCTCCAACAGTGAGGGCCAGGACACCTGGCTCCTGCCAAAGGACCTGCTCATGGACCAGCAAACCTGGTCAAAGTGGGTTGGTGTCTCACCACACAAAACGTGTTTGCCATTGGCCCACCCTGGCATGTGCTTTGCAATCACACCAGTACACACACGGCTGTAGGGGTTAACTAGAAATCCATTGCTGGACGTGGCTTACCCTACAGAGCTGGGGAGAACTGGAGAGGAACGCAGTGATCCCGATGGAGAGCCCTGCCTTGCTCAGCCTACCTCTCCTGGGTGTTTTCCAGGCTGGCTCGTGGATGCTCCTCCCAAGCAATGCAAGACCCACACTTTGAAGCTCCAGGCTGCTGCTCCACCAGCCCTCTTCCAAGGTCCATGGTCCAGGCTCTGACACAACCCCTACTCCTCCAGCACACAGTCCCTGCTTTTTGCCAAATAAAGAGAAACTTAACCCAAATCTTGGTGTAGCTGTCTGAGGAGAATCCAGGGTTCTGGGGAGTGTGGTCCCCCACTGTTGTCCTCCCAGGGGCTGTGAATGGTGAGCAGCCAGGAGTGATCCCAGTCCGAGCTCACCCAAGTGAGGGCAGTTTCACACCTCACAGGATTTTCCCCCCTGGGTGCCTCCCATGGGGCAGGAGCAGGCCAGGTAGAGGTGAGACAGTGAGTGCAATGAGGCTGGGAATCCGTGGGCATGAGAGGCTGCATGGAGAAAGGCCACAGAGAGTGAGATTGGAGTTTGCAAGGCTGCACCCACCCCCAGGATCCCTCACCTCCACTCCTCTGGCTCTGCTGTGCCTGCAACACTCTGCTCCCCAGGAGCCCCAGGAACTTGTCCACCAGCTCAGGTTGAGTCAAGGCAGGTCAAGACTCAGATTTGGGACCTCTCAGCCCCACAGTGCTACAGGCTGCTGTGAACATGGGTGTCTGAATCCTCTGGACACAAACCTGGAGAGATGCATGTGGTTTCTGCCCCTGAGTACCACACAGAGAAAGCCCCCACTGGAGTTGGAGTACTTGGTGGTGGTGGTTACCAGAGAAGCTGTGGCTGCCCCATCCCTGAAAGTGTCCAAGGCCAAGTTGGATGAGGCTTGGAGAAATCTGGGCTAGTGGAAGGTGTCCCTGCCATGGACAGGGGGTGGAATGAGATGAGTGTCAAACTCCCTTCCAGTCCAAACTGTTTTTTGATTCCTCCTCCCACAGACAGGAAAATACATTTGGGAAATTGTCTCTCCTGACTCTGAAGATTACAAGAGTGGGACGCATCTCATCAGCAGCAAGCCAAGGGACCTCTCGGAGACTTCCCAACCCAGTGCCATCTCCTCCCTCTTGGGAAGGAGCCCAGTGTTTCCAGCAGTAATTCTCTGCAGCAGTTTGGATTGGAACAGTTCAGCATTTGCTGCACTCCTGGGACTGCCCAGCTCACATGCAACTTTGCCTCCAGGCTTGTTTTTAGTACATGTATTGCTGCAGATGAAAACATCCTTCTGCCAGCAATGCCCTTCACCACAGGCTCTGTGTGACAGGGAGTCCCAGTGTCTCCACATCAGCCAAACATTTCCTTCCTGCCACGTGCAGCATCACCTTCCAGACAGCAGATAACTGCTCTTTGCCACTGGCACTTTCTACTCCTCCTTTTGTCTGTCTATTTTCTCCCTGTGCCAGAGCACACAGGTTGATAGTTCAGATATTTTTTGGGTGTGAGTTTCTGCCATGCAGAGCAGGGGGTGGGTCCCCATGCAGCTCTCCACAGTCCCTCAAGACTGTCCCTGTCCCCACTGCTCATCCAATGCTCCTTTATCCCCCCAGTAAATCTGGCCAGATGTTATCATATATCTGATAACAAGGGATTTTCTTTCACTGAATGTTTCTAAGGACTTCCTGGGATGAGGCACCTACTCGGCATTGGTGGCATCCTGCAGCAAGGAGCCTCACCACCCACTGCTGCTCTCCCTTTGGCTTGTTGTAGTGGTTCCATCCTCAGCTCCTCAGCCAGGTGCTCTGGGAGCACACCAGGGGAATGGCTGGTAGGGACCAGGTTAGGGCAGTGGGGATCAGACCAGGCACCAGGGTCCCAAACACTGGTGGAGAGAACAGAGGGGTACTGGGGCAAGGGAAGTGCTGGGCCAGCCTTTGATGGCTGAGGAGCAGTTTGAGACTCACAGCTCATGTGTCTCATGTGATGCAAGACCCCCTACTCTATTCACGCTTCTCATGCTGTTCCAGATCTTAAATCTTTGACAATCCCTGTACTCCCAGCTGCTCCTCTCATGCTTCTCTCTCCCTCCCTTGTTCAGGCCATGTCCCAGCTGGGGCTGTGCGGCCAGGCCTGGACGTCCACCTCACTGAAATGGTGGGAGTACAGCTGAGATTTACAGGGTGCCTTGTCCCGTTCCCTGATCTTCTCCTAATGTCTCCTCTTGCTGCCCCCTTTGGCACCTGCTGTACATGGATGAGATGTTTTACCAGACATCTGTCGGTCAGCACAGTGACCTCCCTGGCTGACCTTCTTCCCTTTCTCTCAGCCACTGTTTGCTGTGTGGGTGACCAAGCACTGGTACAGGCTGCCCAGAGAGGTTGTGGAGTCACCTTTGGGGATATTCAAAATCTGTCTGGATGCAATCCTGAGTGACTGCTCCAGGGGACTCTTTTGAGGAAGGAGTTTGGACTGAATGACCCCCAGTAGTTCCTTGCAGCCTGAACCATTCTGTGATTTATCCCAGTGAGATCTGCCTCTCTAGCCTATGGCAGCTAGTCCCCTGTGAGCTTTGATAAAGACCCTTCCAGCTGGCCAGGGAATGTCCAACACCCATGTCTTGTTGACTCCTCCAGAGAGGAGGTGTATTTCTGAGGTGTGATTTCCTGTGCAGAAGTTGGATTTAGTCTGTCCTGTGGCAAAAGTTTGATTTAGTCTGTCCTGTGACAGACTTTGCCCAGAAATCAACCAAGTCTGGCATTAATTACAGCTTTTGTATCTCCCCCACTGCATAGGAGTCATCTGTCATCCTTTACCTCTGACCACCTCTGCAGAGGCTGGCATGCTCACTGCTTGTCTGGTGAAAACTAGAGGTATCACAGGGGATGTAAGTGGCATGTGGCAAGCTGCAGTGATGTTTGAGTTTCATATCTGACTTATGTTGACTGGAAATGTCATCTCCTCGATCTTATTACTCACTTATCCTTGTGCATTGGTAGGACAGAACTTCTCACGCGTTTGCAGAGGAGATTGTCCATCCTGGGAATCCACCAAAGCTCCTCTTTGACCACGGGGGATGCAGAGTCTCTTCACTTTTCTATCAGCTTATTTTCTTTGAATACTCACTCTGGATTTAACTGGCTACCTTTAAACATTTTCTAGTGTTAAATTCCTGCTGCCAAAGCCTTTGAAGAAGGTGCAGATGTCATTCCGCAGAGCAGAGGAGCAAGGCACCGAATTCTGATGTCTTTGTTGTTTGTCTTACATTGTTGCCTTTGGCTGCCTTCAGTTAGTTAAAGAATATTTATGCTATTTCTAATCAGCTTCTTTAAATTGATGTAATAATGCTGGCTTCCATTTAGACTTCCCAATGTTCTTTAGGGTTTGTATTTGCTAATATCAGCTTAAGCGCTCAGAGGGAAGCTAAGCTGATCTTTCCAGACAATCTCTGTGCCATATGTGATAGTTAATCCTCTCAACTTTCCATTTTTTCCTCTTTTAAAGATGAAATGTGACTGTATGGGATCATCTCTGGTTTAAGAGTAGCAGCAGTTGTCACGAGAATGATGTTTTGATTTTGGCCCCTGAACCAGGTCCCACTTGCTGCTCAGGACCTGTGGGCTCCTGGCCATCCCAAAAAAAAACCTGAGCTCATGGATGCCCAACCAACCTGCCTGGAGCAGCCATGTGTTAGAGCCTCCTTGGATGTCCCTTTGCATGTGATGGCTGCCAGCACCGTCACCAGCTGCTGGGATGGTCACCACAGCAGGAGTCACTCCAATAATGTACAGACATCAGGGCTGTCCATCTGCATTGGATGCTGCAGAGTGAGACCATGGGGTTCTCCAAGTGCCACTGGCCGTGGGATCTGGTGGGTGTGAGCCCAGAAGAGCCTTTCCCCTTTCAAAATACACCCAGGAGTATATTGAAATCATCCCGGTTTCCCAAGCCACTGGTGCTGCCAGACACACCTGTCGTGAAGTGAGGAAGCATCTTGTCAAGCAGAGCAGGTGGTGGGTCCTCATGCAGCCCTCCACGGTCCCTCAAGACTGTCCCTGTCCCCACTGCTCATCCAATGCTCCTTTATCCCCCCAGCAAACCAGGCCAGATGTCATCTGAGAACAAGGGATTTTCTTTCACTGAATGTTTCTAAGGACTTCCTGGGCTGAGGCACCTACTCGGCATTAGTGGCTGAGTCACCAGTGTCCCCAACAGCTGGGTGGGGTGAGTGCTTGAGGATAGAAGAGATTTAGGATGGAGAGAGAAGGAGTCAGCCCCATGCTGGGGTCTCTGCCCTGCTCTGCTCCCTGCCCCTCTCCCATGACCAGCAGTCGTGGGTGTCCCTGCTGTCCCTCTCGCAGCCCAGCAGCCAGATGAGCACCGGGGTGCCTGGTATGTGTCTCAAAGCACACAGCCTCACAGATCACCTGCAGGCAGCATGGCAGGAGTCCTGCCTCTACCACAGTCATGGAACTGCCCACCTACAGGCAAGCTCCTCATCCACTTGTGCCACAGCCTAGTTCCCAGCAGTGTTCCCAGCACGTGGCTCTCCACGCACAGCAAGGCTGTGGAGCTGGCCTGTGCTTCACTTAAGCCTACCTCAAGCTCACTTGACTCATTAGATTTGATGGCAAATCAAATGCAATTTAATTAGCAGAAAGGCAAACAGCCCCTGCCATTGACTGGCTGATCATTCCCTAATGACCATCAGATCAGCAGATGTAATTGCAAAGCCCTACAGTTATCAGAAAACAAAATGAAGATGCCACTTGCATCCCACTCAGACAGTGCCTCCGACATCTCCTCCTGCCATGGCTCATGGGGAGTTTCTGAGGGGGGAGTACATCCCTCTGCACCCTTCACCTCCCAGTAAAGCAACTGGTGCCAGAGGAGCCAACCTGGTTTTCTGGTAGCCCAGACTGTGGCGGTGTCCTGGGGACACCAGCTCTTTGGAAAGCCCCAGATTCTGGAGAGGTCACAGGGCACAGGGAGGGAGTCAGGGGTGGATGCCCTACCCAGGGGTCTTGTGCTGGGTCTGTGGGTGTGACATCTTCCCAGTGAACCAGCCCTGTAGTTTTCCACCTCTGCTTCATTAAACCAGCTCAAAGGCTCTGTGAACACCAAACGATATTTTTAGCTGGGGTTTGCATATTTTCTTTCTCTTTTCTGTTTGCATGCTCAACTTCCCAAACCTGCCCAGCTGCAGGAACCAGCTCACCTTACTTCTTTTTTTCATTCACAGCCAGCAATCTTCCCCTATTGAT